TTCACGGTCACACTAAACCATCTATATATCCTAGCCAACCTATATTCTATTTCAAAATACAATTTCATATCACAATGTAGACAAACACTAAACACTAAACCCTAAAAAATATATAATGCACTAACCTATTGTAGACCTCCCAATAAGTGCGTCCTACAACAACAATGGCGAATGTAGACTGGAACGTGAACTTGGCAACACACAAATATATTACAATGTAATATGCCTCAATGAGAGCAAGAGAATTAGAAAGATTGAAAATACAAAGAACGTACCTTTAACTTAATGGAAGACGCAGACAACGAGAAAGAGAACGCAGAGAGCGAGAATGAGAGCGCAGGGAGCGGCACAAAAACGTAAACGCAAAGAGTGCGAGGTTGAAGAAAGTGGGTGTAGGGTTAAAAAAATATATGACTTTAGATAACGGTTGACCAAATAACCGCTATCTAAACTACATTTATTATAGCGATCCCACGAAGTAACCGCTATCTAAAGTTATGATAGCGGTTCCACGTGTCAACCGCTCTTTAAAAGTATGACATTAGATAGCGGTTACTACATAACCGCTATTATAACTTATTTTAGAAAGTGGCTCTTTCTTAACCGCTATTAAAACATACTTTAGAGAGTGGTTTACGTCTAACCGCTAATATGTATTTTTAAAAGTAATTTTTATTAACCGCTATCTAAAGTGTCGTCGCATAAGTCTATTTCTATTGTAGTGCAACTTAACATTTTCTAAGATGAGATTTTGTTGAGAACTAGTATAGTATACGAAACGTTTTGACATACGATCACATTTGTAAATATAATCATCATCATACGGATAATTTACTATTATGATTTAAAATCTTTATTGATTTTTAATAATGAGTTAAACCATAACAATTAAAAAATTGATTGTTATAGCTTTTTTAATTGCAGTAAAAAAATTATTTATAACCGTAAATGTTGTTTAAAGAAGAAAAAAAAATTAGTTGTATGTTTTGAAAACTTGTTCTCGGTGACTATTCATGCATAAAGATGGATTAAATCCCCATAACCTTTATAGGTAGACTTTTGATATGAACATTCATAAATATAGGATTGATCACCTACTTTATATGATATTTGATTGAATCACATTTATCACTTTTTGTAATGGACGTCGTGAACTACATTTATCCCCTTCCATACCGTCTTCATTACGATTTAGAGGGCTACTCTGATGGATATATTATTTAGTACAATCATGTTATTAAAACCTCTCATCATTTCTTACAAACTTTTTGTCACATAAAATATTTCAACAATTATATTAATTCCTTATCACTTTTATCTACCTGTCTCTCTTTGAATCTACACCCTTAGTTTTGTGTCCATGTTTTTTTTCCCAAGACTTTACTAGGGTTTTATCTTGGACAAAACTTTCATATGCTGTTTTTCTTGGTTCGTAAATAAATAATTACACTGAAAGAGACCTTTGCCCCATGCAATATGCAAACATAATGCTTTTTTGTTTGATGGTGTTGCGAATAGGAGACAAATTGGGGAACTTTTTATTGCAGCTTTAAACAAAGTTACTATTTAAGTTTGAAATCTCAGAATATAACATTTCTTTCACGTTTATCATATGCTTATAGTAACTATGCCACGAACTTCACTAACATCAATGTTAAAACGTGGGTTTCTAAAAAATAGCATAAATCATTACATATGTCATATTTTTTTTAGCAGTGGAACTCATGATTTTTCTACCATTTTTGTTTCTCTAAGATGTTCAAAGTTTCCTCCAAACTCATGTTGCGCATTAACAAAATTTTGCAAGTTAGGTGTGTTACGATATTGAGTTTGTTTACATAAGTAGAATATTAATTCATGCCGAGAAATGAAAAAAAATTATATATATATATATATATATATATATATATTTATTTTTTTAAGTATATATCAATATTATAAAATAATTTTATTTTCTTAAAAAAAATATGGTAACATTTTTATAAATAAGTGGATTTTTTTTCTTCCGACACGTAAGAGTAATATATTTCACATTTTTTTTAATTACATTTAAATTTTAAAATATTTTTTTATATTTGATATTAGTATTTTATGTCAGTAATTTCTGTATCATCTATTAACATTAAACTTATATTTCACTTAGAAAGACCAAAATAAATATTTAAAAAATCAATTTTACACTAATGTTTTTTTCGTTAAAATTGACATTTAATTTTTACCACAGTTCACTGAATGTCAATTATTTATAAAATATATAAAAATCCAGAGGCTTAAGCAATGTCACCTTTACTAAATTTATATTTGAATGGTCTAAATGTAATCATTGTTGAAAATGACCCTTATTTTTAGTTTTAGGTTTGTATCATTCTCAAGATCACCTTTACAGCGATGAAGGACCCAATTATTCAAGCTTCATATGTACAAAATATTAATTTATGGTAATGAAGTTTCGTTTCAAGTGTATTGTACACAATTTTAAATGTTAGGATTAAGGACGCTGAGGTTTCATATACTGTGAGTGTTAGAGGAATTTGAAAATTTATATGGTAATAAAAATAAATATTTTTATTATGGATTTTAATTGTTTAAAATTAAAAAAACGTTTAAAATAAGAAAAAAAGTCATTTATATAAATAATTTCAATTAATATTTAAATAACTCATATACAAAATCTATAATTAAATATTTATTTTTATTCTTAATTAATAATTTTCTTATGTCCATATGAGAGTTTATAATAAAATGTTAAATATATTATTATTTTGAAATTTCAATGAATCAAGATATTATTTTTGAAAGATATATATTGAGAGAAAATAATATACATAAATTATTTAGACTTATAAATATAATGAAACATATGTTATTAAAAACAAAATTTATTAAAAATTATGATTTTTAATAAACTCTAATAAATAATATTTTATATACTTACATATATTTTTATTTTTTGATAAATGAATGAGGTTTGTTTTAGTGTCTTCAAAATTGTTACTTTTTTTAATGTATGAAACTAATTACCTACTTTATATTCAATAATATAGTAATAGAATAATACAATATCAACAAGTGTCATCTCATAAAAATTCTTAAGATATGTAAAACATGTGTTATTTATCCATTTTAAAATGAATATTACGGACTATTGTAATTCAAAATTGTGAAAAGATAAATAAATATATATATATATATATATATATATATATATTATATGAATTAAAACCAAAATCCACTTTTTAATGTCATTTCAAAATTTATAAAAGTAAATAATGAAAAAAAATTGTAGGACTCAAAATAAAACTGATTAATTTTGTATAAATTAAAAACACATTTAAACTTGGAATGACATAGGAAGAATATGAAACTTACAATTTTTTTTTTCTTTTACTTATAAATCTACTAAGGTATTTTTAGAATATTGAGATAAAGTAGAATTGAATATATAGGAAATATAGAGAGAATGGAATGTTGTCTTTGTTGTATGGTGAGGCTTAGCCATAGACAATTGGTTTTGGACCCCATTGTAGCTTGTTGGGGTTGGGGTTGGGGTTGGGATTGAGTCTTGTTCATGTTTTTTTGGTCAAGAAAAGGAACTCGCAAGTTCATCACTTAGGAAGGAGTAATATCAATTGGTGAATTCATGTATAGAATGGATTAAAAAAAAAACGGCATATAAAATTATTTATTACCTTACTCTAAAATGATGTGAAACTTATGAGTGTATTAAAATATATGTTTTAAACAAATATTAAGGAATATAAATGAAAGAAGACGTTGTTCTTGGTTTTGGATATCAATATTCTTTTTAAGAAAAAAGAGTGTCCTATATATCATTAGAATCAATTACTACGTTAGATGTATTATATCTTTTAGAATTCTAATATATCACAGTTTTATTTTTAAAAATACTTTGAACTCAATTTCTAAATGATGTAGTATTCATAAATTACAAAAATATAATTTCAGTTGAAAATAAATAGTATAAAAAACTGTCTTTGACCTCATTTTTTTTTATAATAAGGTTAAGATCAATAACAATGTTTAATATTATCTACTTTAAACTTTAATCAATTACAATTTTATTTTTTAAAATATTTCAATTTAAAAAATAAAATATAGGTTAAACTCTTAACACGATATGCATTTATTGTCTCTCCCTCTCTTCGAACATTTGCTATTCAAGTCACATTTTCCTTCTATAAGCAATTTCAAATATCTTCTGCTCAATCTTACCATAGTACGCATTTTATACCTCACTTTGTTAATTTCAAGATGGCACATCTATGTTTTTAGTTCAATTAACAACAATATAATTTTGATAATAATTATTATTGTTATCTGTCAGAAGCACATGGCAACAATCATGAAATTTAGGTAACTGTACATCAAAATACCAAATTATATGTCGAGCAGTAGGAGAAGAGACAGACGAAACCATTGCACTGCTAGTCCAAAATATTTTAAGATTTAGTTATAATCTCGTTCAGGGGTTCTTCATGAGGAAGAAACCTTAGAAGAAGATCTTCATAACTCGGTCACTGAAAACACATGATTTTGATTTGAGTTTTGATGACGAAGGATGATATATATACACGATTTTCTTTTATATTAAACCAAAGTTGCATAATTAAATGGTGAATAAAATCGAAAATATTCTATATTAGATGGAAAAATGAAATAAAAAATAGAGAGTAAAAGAGGGAAGCAGTGGCATCCCAAGTTGAAAGGAAGGGAAAGCTCGGAGAACGAAAATAATAACATGCTCTCTCTTCCAAAGTGGAAACTGAGAGAGCACGTGTCCAGTGAAGGTGCAATGGCGAGCCACGTCATCCTCAGATTCAAATTTGACTCCCTTATGAGGGAAGAGAAAAAAAATTCAAAAAACGGCACACCACTACCCTCCTCCACCTATAAAACCCCCCCACAACCTCACTCCCTTAGGAACCAAGCAAGAAACCATTCCCAGCATATAACTGAAAGGACTACTACACCTCACCAAAATGCCTTCTTCCTCCACCACCATAGTCTCCAAATGTGTCGTCCACCCCGACCACAAATCCAACATCAAACCCCTCAAACTCTCTGTTTCTGACCTCCCAATGTTGTCCTGTCACTACATCCAAAAGGGCGTCTTGCTCACCGCCCCACCCTCTTCCTTCGATGACCTCATTCTCTCTCTCAAACACTCTCTCTCCGCCGCTCTCTCCCACTTCCCCGCCCTCGCCGGCCGTCTCTCCACCGACTCCCAGGGCTACGTCCACATCGTCTGCAACGATGCCGGCGTCGACTTCATCCACGCCAAGGCCAAGCACTTGACTTTAAACGCCGTCGTTTCGCCCTCTCTCGTTGATGTGCATCCCTGCTTCAAGGAGTTTTTTGCCTACGACATGATGATCTCCTACGCCGGCCACCACAACCCTCTCGCCGCCGTCCAGGTAACCGAGCTAGCCGACGCTGTCTTCGTCGGCTGCACTGTCAACCACGCTGTCACCGACGGCACCTCCTTCTGGCACTTCTTCAACACCTTCGCCGCCATCACCAAAGGCGGCGCCGCCAAGAAAGTCCTCCGCGCCCCGGACTTCACTCGCGAAACCGTCGTCAACTCCTCCGCCGTTCTCCACGTCCCTGCCGGCGGCCCCAAACTCACCTTCGACGCCGACCAACCCCTCCGCGAACGCGTCTTCCACTTCTCCCGCGAATCCATTCTGAAACTCAAACTTAGAGCCAACGCCAACACCAACGAACTAACGGAAGTAATGGGAAAACAAGTGAATGACGGTTGGAAAATCGTTAACGGTAACGGTAACGGTAACGGAAACGGAAGAGTTAACGGTAACGGAAGAAACGAGATCTCCTCGTTTCAGTCGTTATCGGCTCAGCTCTGGCGTGCGGTGACACGTGCGAGGAAATTCAACGACCCTGCCAAAACGTCGACGTTTCGCATGGCGGTTAATTTCCGCCACCGTTTGGAGCCGAAGTTGGACGCGTTTTACTTTGGCAATGCGATTCAGAGCATTCCAACCGTCGCAACCGTCGGGGATATTCTCTCACGCGATCTGCGTTTCTGCGCGGAGTTGCTGCACCGGAACGTGATCGCGCACGACGACGCAACGGTGCGCCGCGGCATAGAGGATTGGGAGAACGCGCCGAGACTGTTTCCTCTCGGGAACTTCGACGGCGCGATGATCACCATGGGAAGCTCCCCGCGTTTCCCCATGTACGACAACGACTTCGGCTGGGGAAGGCCCGTTGCGATTCGGAGTGGCAAAGCGAACAAGTTCGACGGCAAGATCTCGGCGTTTCCGGGTAGAGAAGGCAACGGTAGCGTGGATCTGGAAGTCGTTTTGGCTCTGGCTACCATGGACGGGCTCGAAAACGACATGGAGTTTATGCAATACGTAACGCAGGTGGTGTGAGGTTACGTTACGTTCAGTAAGTCGCTCAGTAGTGATAGTGAAAACACGGGACGGAGTGAAAAATATTATAAGTCGGTGATGAAACGACGGGGAACGGTGGGTGATTGCACGATAATAGTACCATGGATTTGAGCGTCGTTTTGTGTGGGTCAAAGTCAAACGTTCTCGAAGTGGGGTCTCAGTGTTCTAAGGCTGTGTTTGGGTGTTTGGGTGGTTGGCCCTACCGGTATAATGATTTTCAGTACGTGATTTCGGGGAGGTTTTTCAGTTTTCACTTTTCAGGTGACTAAGAACACGACGAATAATAATAACAATTACGATGACCACGACCACGATGATGATGAATGAAAATTGAAAATAAAAAGGGAAATTAATAAGTTGAAGCCAAAATAGGCTTTTGGAGTTTTCTTTTAGCTTTTTTCTAAGTGTCCGTTCGTGTTACTTTTTCCATTATAAAAATATAATTTTTTTTTAAATAGAGAATTGAGTGGAGATAACGATGTGTGAATATTGTGGTTGATTGGAAGTGTGTGATTGAGGATATAGTTGTGGATAAAGAATGTGAGATTAATGTGTGTGCGTTTGGAATAAAATAAACAAATAAAATATAAAGAATAAAGAATTGGTGTGAAATGAAACCGCGAGGGGGCCACAATTTGAGATGCTCCGTTTTATTTAAACATGTGCCGTGATGCTTTAATTAATTGTTGTGATAATTTCCAGCATGAATCCAACATATGAGGTGTTACAATTGCTATCATCGTTGGATACTTCATTAAACAACATCTGCAAAAGATAAGTGATTAGGTTCTTTAATGACTCGACAGCAACTTGTATAATCTTGCAATCATGGACCATCAACTTAGGACCTATTGCTTTCATTAACTAATTATGGGTTTGCCTTGTAATTTCAATATTTATGCCTTTAACTATGCATTTCAATGTTTTACCCGTATAAAACAAAGTAAAGATGTTGTAAATTTGTCATAAAAAACATTTATCATAAGAAAGTGCAAAACTAACACAATTTTTCTTTGAAGATATCCATCTAATAACAACTAGGATAAAAAGATAAAATTAGTATAATTTATCATCAAAACGGTTCACTTAACATAGTGGTATGAAAGGGTAAATCTAATACAATTTATCATTAAAAAATTATTCTTAATAAGAATTAGTGAAAAAGAACGGTGAACAAATACGTGTTACCTTTAATAATAGCTATAAGATGAACACACGTTAATAATAACTTTAAATCTGACACATTTTATTAACAGTTCAAAATCGTGACCTTAGTGATAAGTTTATATCGAGCTTACCTCGACCTTGATGTGGTTTTATAAATTGATAACTCAAATAAAATATATCTTGACAAAAATAATTGTAAAAAAAAATCTTTAGATTATTGAATCAACTTAATCACACATATAATTAAAAAAAAATATTGATAATTGATCATATAAATCTTATTTATATTTAATATCTTCTTATTTCAAATTTAAAAGACTTGTATATCTGTCTGTCGTAATTCATACACCATATGTATGACTCAAAATAAGATAAAATTCCTTAAACTGAATATTAATAATTTAGAAAATATTTAATATCAATATATAAATTAAAATAAACCTTATTATTTAATAATAAATGAGAAAATTTTGTTATCCAATTAATCATTGGATATTAAAAGTAACATTATTTGTGGCCTAAAGTATATAACTCAGGAAAATCGTACAAGACAATCTTATTTTCCATAAATGCATTCTCATAACCTCATTCTTATATTTTTTAGATGAACCATCTCTTTTTTATATTGGAATTCATTTCTAAATACTGTTTACAACTCGGTTAATACACATTAGAATTTCTATCTCACAAATTCATTCGACTAGAAATAATCAATTTTTTATAAAAATGATATAATATAATATAGTACTTTCTTTTTAAATTTGCAATTTAATAACTTTTCTTTCAAATAAATTTATTTCACATTATATATTAAGAATATTGAACAAGGGGCTTTACAATTTAATGGTGCCTAAAAATATCACTCCACCATCAAATATATGTTTGAGATATTTGTACCCTTCTCTAGGTTCACATCGCTAAGATTAGGCATATGAACTCCATATAAATGGTGATTAATAATAATATTTAGGGTTAAGTATGTTTTTAGTCCTTATATTTTCATGTTAAATTAAAAATAGTCTATCTGTCAGAGTTCAAATAAAAATAATCCATATACTTTTAAAATGATTGAAATATGTCCTATTTTAAAGATGTTAAGTATATGCTAACTTGTCTAACAAAAATGATATGACTCATTCATTATTTAACACGTGTAATTATTTAAATAAATAAAAATAAAAGTTGTCAAGATTTTAAAAGTTATTTAAATCCGTATTTATAACATTTAAAAACCATTTAAAAAGAAATTTAAACTTCTCTACTTTAATTTTCGGAAATGAAAACCCTAGTTATGGTATATCACCGTCGTACACTACCGTTGTGCACCATCTGTCGCACTGTCAGTCGAACCACAACGAACCGATGGAACCCTCGAACTTCAAAGTCACTTTGACTTCATACAACCTTTCTAGAGAAAGGGGAAAAAAGAAAAGACATTTGGTGTGTGGCGAGAAAAGAAGAGAGAACGAAAAGTAGTTGTGACGAGAAAAGAAGAGAGAATGAGAAGTGGTTGTGACGAAAACTAAAGAGCTTTGATGTGTGAGGAGAAAAGAAAAGCTTCTACTTTTTATTTTTTATTTTTTTTAAATAATAATCTCTGTTGAATAGTTTTTTTTTTTAAGAAGAGCTTTGCTTTTTTTTTAATAATTACACGTGTCAAATAATGAATGAGCCATACTATCTCTCGTTAGACAAATCATCATATATTTAACGTCGTTTAAAATAGGGACTTATTCCAATTATTTCAAAAGTATAGGGATCATTTTTATGTGAACTTTGACAGAGGGATTATTTCTAATTTCACATGAAAGTACAAGGATTAAAAACATACTTAACCCTAATATTTATAAAATTGGATATAACGATCGAAAATACGAGTTTATAATTTAAAAATTTAATCGAGATTTAATCTAATTTAATAAAATAATATTTTTATAGTATAATAAATATATAATAAGTTCATTACACTAGTACAAAAAACACTTTTAACATCGGACTTTTTACATCGGTTGTTAAAGAACCGATGTAGAAATTTTTTTAAAGCCTTTCCACATCGGTTTAGATGGGAACCGATGTAGAAAGTACTTTCTACATCGGTTCCACCATGAACCGACGTGGAAAGTGCTTTCTACTCGTTTTAAAATAATTATGATCGGTCATAAACTCATTCCGATCGATCATAACCAAAAAATGTGGATGTCGCTCGAGCGAGACAGATGTCGCTCAAGCGAAAACCACCCGAGAAGGCCAATAATTTTGTGCGAGTGGCATCGCTCGAGCGAGACAGTGTCGCTCAGCGAAAAACCACCCGAGAAGGCCAATAATTTTGTGCAGGTGGCGTCGCTCGAGCGAGACGAGTGTCGCTCAAGCGAAAAACCACCCGAGAAGGCCAATTTTGTGGAGGTGGCGTCGCTCGAGCGAGACCAGGTGTCGCTCAAGCGAAATACAACCCGAGAATGCCAATTTTGTGCAGGTCGCGTCGCTCGAGCGATCTTATTGTCGTTTGAGCGAGTGTTGACCTGCACTTTCTACATCGGTTCCCCCATGAACCGATGTGGAAAGTGCTATCTACTCGATTTAAAACAATTCGATCGGTCATAATCTCATTCGATCGATCATCCGGTTCGATCGGTCATCAAGCCATTCGATCGGTCATCCGATATACCATTTTACTTTCTACATCGGTTCCCCCATGAACCGATGTGGAAAGTCTTAAAAAATTTTAGTAGACTTCACTCTTGCCCTTACAGACTCGACTCCCGGACCCAATTACGGACTCGACTCCCTCCGAAATTCTTCCCTTGCTCCTAGCCATTACCAAATTCATTCTCGCAGATAGCGAAAACCACCGTCTCCTTGCCCCTATCGCGAGTAGCGAAAATCACCGTCTCTCCCATCTCCTTCCCCCAATCGAATCCCTAACCTCCGTTTCCCCAATCGAATCCCCAAGCGAAAACCACCCTTGCCATGCACCAAGAACTGCGACGCGCACCGGAACCGCGACGCGCACCAAGAACTGCGACGCGCCACCCTCGTCTTCACCTCTCCGAAACCGTCTAGGAGCTCCTCCTCATTGCACTCGCGCACCTTCGATCTCGTCGCGAACCGGAGGTGATTCGGACCAGGTCCGTGGGTCTATCCTATTGGCTTCTCATCCTTGTTTTGTCAATTACCTTTATGCATTTTCCTTGATTCTCGGATTATTTTGTTTGGTCGTGGACTGATTCTGCTCGGGTTTAATGTATGTAGACATGTTTATTCCGGGTTTTGTATTATTATTTCCGTTTAGTTTGACTTGAATATGTGATTTTCACTTGGTTATTCTCGTGGGGTTGAGATTGGTGTTATCCAAGCCCTGTTGGGTTGGTTGATGTCGCTCGGTCCGAGTCTCTTAGCGGAAGAGTTAAGGCTATGGGTTTCCATGCTCGGGGTGTAGGGCTTTGGGGTATTGATTATATTTGGTTCTCTTGTTTTTCATTTGGGTTTGTTTCTTATGTTGTTGATTTAGGTTTGTTCTTTGTGTTGTTTGTTTTGTTCCCGGAGTTTTATCGTTGTTCCAAGTACTATTTCGAGTTTGGATTATAGTTTGAGTTGTTTAAGTTTGTTGCCTCCGAATTGAGGTAATTCCATTTTCACACTAAGCAAAGACGTCATGTAGTTATAGATATGGATCGGAGTTGGATAAATGCCAAACGTATAGAAGAAGAATATGAATTAGGGGTCGAAGAGTTCTTAGAGTTTGCACAGAGAAATGTGGGTAGCAATAGAGGTCTCTTTTATTGTCCTTGTGTGAAGTGCTTAAATTTAAGACA